TCATTGCAAACTATTTTATGCTCCTAAGTAAAAAATAACTATGGAATCTATGTGCAATAAAATCTACGATCACATTCCAAAATATCCCCAATGAGCACGAAGAGAGGCTCTGAGACTGCTCTCGTAAACGAAGGTATCCCTCGTCCACCAAACCACTCTTGAGTCTTGCTTTTGAGGAATCCAGACTGGGATGACAAACCTACATGTTTCCTTCAAACACGGACCGCACGGCAAAGTTAACTGGGTAAGATCTGAAGGGCAGGATGGCCATTTCTCCAATTGCCCTGAAGTCGGGCAGCTGGCGTTGGCACCAAGGCTGGACAGCAACATTCCCCTAGACGTAGCTCATGATTTCGAAGGTGTCTAAAAGAGAGTGAGCGCACATTTCGGTTCGCGGGTAGATGGCGATTACATGATGGTCGTACCAGACCGATTCTCTTTACACTAGTCATCTGGCCGAACTTGTAAGGAACGGCTTGGCAACAATCTACCTGCCAGTCTTTGATACGTAGAATTTCTATTAGACTGCTTGACGTACAACCGATTCCGCAGAAACTGGGGCCCTTTCTATATTTAAAAATAACTGTTGTTCTATTCGACAAGTTATCGTATTTATTGCTTATCATAAGATGTAATTGTCTACACTTTGGGTTTAGATGTCTAATGCGAAGTCACATTTCTTCCATGTCATCCTATATGTTTTCGCCGACTGCCGTTTAGTTCAGACTCACCTCTGTGAATGAAAGCAGTTGCTTATTCGAATCCTGGGATGCTCTGCGAACTGCGACGACGCCATTGCACCCAGATTCCGATCACAGTTGCTGAGGTATTTCCACTGGTGCGATGCACTACTACTATCAAAACTCCGGAATCTATGAACTGTTCAATATTGGTCATAGAAAGTCTGGCAAGGTGGGCGATCTATGGACAAAACTTCTCTCGGACGGCACTCAAACCCGAATGTGTGCTCTCCGGGCACCGTGCTCTTTATCCCTCACACTACCGATACCCCGCTTTTCCTCGCTTTCTGTATGGTTTTTTAGCCATAGCTTTCCAGAATCTGCTCAGCGAAATAGGCGGGGCAGTCATTGTCGGCAACGAACTGTGACTTGGTCTTCAATTCAGAACAGAATATGACGAAACGTCTAGTTGGAACGAGTAGAGGACTCCTCTTAAGTGCAAAAGCTGAATGAATTTAATTTCTATAAGAACGCATGGGGATCATCAGGCTCAGCGTTGATGGATATTTTTAAAACACGCTACAACTCATTTTGAATTCGAGAAGTAGGAGCCTTCCTGAACGTTTCTCAGTCCGTCCCCTGCAAAAATGGAATTCTATTTAAAATCATCTGTTTGTTCTGGTAATATATCCATTAATTAATTATGACTAGTCTCTCAGTAACTGCAGAGAGCTGCGAAGCCCAGTCAGGATTTCGTTGCATCAAAGCGGTGAACTTGGATTACAATTCAGACTACATTACCAACAACCTGGTCATCTATCCTCCAAGCAACCCAGGAACGCCATGTTGTCCGTTCGCTGCACAATCCTTGAACACCGGTTTTATGATGGTCCTTCCGCGCTTTACTAGTTTCCGGCCACATTCGAAAGCTAGTCAGTCAACTGGCTGCTTTCACTAAATCCCCATAGAGTTGCCATTACCATCCGGTTGTGTGGCTAGAGTATCATCCAGCTCTTGACTATGAATTCAAGAGGAACACTAGAAAAACCTTGCACTCTTTTCTGCGGGTTTTCTTTCCAACACATTTATTTTCCCCTTCGAGTAAACAGTGAATTCAGTGCTTGCCTGCCACCGATCCAATCGGCTTCAGACTTACTGTGTGACCGACAGAAGTGATCGCGATGGTGGCGGTGTTCGCTCAAAGCCGCAGACCGGTCCATCCGTCTGCTTTCCCCTCGCCACCACTCGTCTTATTTGCGTTCTTTCCAGACCTTGATCCCGTTTTTATCGCGATTCTACATAAGATGGCGGTTCAGATATAATGGCATGAAATTTTGCAACCACCTCTACGAAATCCCGTTTGTGTTCTGATGGATTACTTCCTAACTCATTTTAGCAGATTCATCTACCATATTTAGTTCTCTTGTTTCTTTGTGGAAGACCTTCCCATATTCCATCAGTGCTATTATTAATAAAATGGTTATTGAGGAAAGGGATACTCTTTTCTTACTAATTCACTTCGATTTGTCACACAGTGAATGTCTCATGCTCTGTTTTTACTGCAACGGTGTACGCCCCGCATTTAACCTCTGTTCAAGCTTTGAATAGAAGTATAACTGTAGCTCACAGTTCACTGACAGCCAGTAATTGCTTAAAACCTTTGAGAAAATGATACGACAAATTAGATATGTTATCAATGAGGATTGCCTATGCCCAGAGGATTATCGTTAGAAAGGAAGGGTAGACGTTCAATGTGTGAAAGAAAAGTTTGCACTAGTAGTAACATAATCAGTTACCATGTTAGTTATCATATGGCGTACGCACTAAATATGCTGTCTACGAAAACCTCCCCACCCACAATTGGACGTGTTGACCCCAGTGCAAGGGGTTCACCTGACATTGGACCTATACGTGTTCAAACACGTTGAGATAAGATAGAACCGAAATTGTAACAGTGAAAACGACGCTAACAGGAAAGCGCAAGTGTTGTACTTGTTTGTGATGGAATCAATATGTAAGATCTTGTATTATGATCCGATTCTTCTCGTTTTTTTCATAAAATCTACTCCCAAGACAAATGCTCATATGCCACGGTTCGTAATGGTTTTTCTGATGTTCCATCACCAGATGGGAGAAAGAGAAAAACGAAATGGGTGGTAAGCTGTGAAATTCTCAGTATTCCCTTGCATTGTCACATCATATCAAGTAGCCGTTTGGAGAAGGTGTGGTGGCAAATGACCCACGAATATACACGCATAGTCAGGGGTTCGAATCCCGGGTCGATATCCGCCTAGGCCAACTAAGCCTCCATCTCTTCGGGGTCGGTTATACGGTAGCAGGGTTACGGTCCTCGTTTGGGAGGATAAAGGTGCTGCCTTGTATATCGGCTGGCCACCGCAGGTTGCTGTGTACGCTAAATTCCCATTCAAAACGCCACACTGATTTTGAATGTAAGTCAAAGGCTGTGCCTATTCCATAGACGGAAATAACTGACGTCTGAAGCTTTAACTTTATCCTTTATTCTCATAACATTTATGTTTGTTTTTTGATCATTCTCATTTGATTCTTATTCGTTTAATTTACTGAGCAATATTACATTGAACGTTGATTGTATTATTCGTCAGCTGAAAGGGCGGCCTCTGGAATGTCCATTCCAATTATGACGAAAATAACCAAAAACATCAGCATCTCATCGCCATTCCGATATGCCAATTTTTCTATTGAGTCATTACACGAAAGCTTCAAAGCTTTTGTTTTGATAGGCATCGTGCCGTTACGTTCAAAAACAATTTTGGTGTTTGCTGCCGTCAGACACGAACATAAATAGCTGGAACCAGTTCGGATCTCTGAGTTCTTGCCGCGTTCGACTACTGAGCTTCGATGTTTTTTTTACGGAGGTGGGATTAGTATTAGGAGCGCCCATGTCATTGTACTCGTTGAAATTTCCCACAATTTCACGTACTAGTTGCAGAATCTAACTCATAACCTAATAAATCTAATGGTAATCAACTTTTTGCAGCTCACCAGTTTCAGTAAACAATGCAAAACTCTTACCCTCATACACCCAAATCATCCTCGGAGCGTTTTTTGTTACTACTTTATCCCATTTTCCCACCCATAGTATAATAGCATTTATTCTACGTATAGTAGCAACCGGTACTCATGGGCCCCATTTATTTGACCATGGGACAATACCAAAACGCGCAGTATATCTTGCTCAGGGTAGCCATGGATCGTAAGTGAGAAAAGCTCCTACTCTGAGTAGTACCAGACAAATGTAGAAATCCATTGTATTACTTCAGTGTAAATGAAAATTTGGGCGGAGGTAGAGTAGTGGCAGGTGCCGCTCTATCTCGCACGCATGGTCACAGTTTTGAATCCCGGATCGTTAACCGCCAACCATACCTTAAATCCATCCGAGGCCAGTTCATTGGTACCAGACTTGTCTAGGATGTGAAAAGCATTGACTTGTACATCGGGTGGCCACCGCAATTCATTGTATAGGCCACATACATACTCAATCAGTACGCCACTACGATTCTGAAAGGAAGCTTAATGCGGGGCGCATCTCTCAGATGGGATTAATTAACGCCCAAAAACTTTACCCTTCTCGCTTTGGATCAAAATTTGGAAGCATTCTATATCAATGTTAGCAGTCTGCTTTTTGTAGTAATACAGAGGTAAATAGATATTCCAAAATAGGTGGAGGTGCAGTCACTATGATATCTCTCACATACAGGTACAATACGCCTTCCTGTTTATGATAAAGAAATTTGATATTGTTCACGTTCCTATTGGTGGTTGTTCTTTTGACGAACTTAAATAAGGTCTCCATTTCCAGACAAGTTACTCGATTAACTAACCCGAATGGCTCCACCAAAATGGTCAGGAGTCCAAACAGGTATATCCTATTCGATTTACGCTCAAACTATTCACTGGAGAATCAAAAAATAAGCCTGATTGATAACATTTTTCTGGTACAGGTGGGTCAGATGAGCTACCGGGTTTTGTAAAAACTAGAACATCGCTCACGGGACGACGCCAGCTTGTCGTATCGGACCCTTCGCAGTGAGAGACGCATTCTGATCCAGTCTTCCCTCTGTTAGCTTAACTTGCTTTAAATGCTTGTCAGCTTCTTTTCCCAAAAGAGACTAAAACCCGATGAAATTTTCTACTCTATAGATAAATAATAAAATTTATGTAGATCCCCTTATCCCGGTACAGTTGCGTAGAGAGCTCCTCCCATGCTTTGCGAATTATCTGCCCTCCCGTCGGAATAATGGGCTGGTCGAGATTGAAGAAAATAGTATTTTCCTCAGTGACCGTGAAAGTTATGGTGGATCTTCTTCAGCTTTAACTTACGGTACGATCTCAACTGCAATTGTGTCATTACTGTCACTTTCCGGAGCTCTTGTGATCCCATTAATCACTGGAAAAGCTAGACACAGGTACATTGTTGTACAAACATTACTTTTATTGTTGAATATATAATAAATAGTTTTTGTCAACTTCGGGAGGCGTCGAACACCCGGTCAATGGAAGAATTCTAACTCATAACCGGGGTTGTTAAAAAACCCAACTTTTTATGAATAGTTAGCATGGCGAAAAGTATAGACCGCATTGTATGTCTTCCTTTTGCCTTTTTCAATGTCCTCATTTACCAGCAATGTATTTTACATAGAAACAAGCATTGCGAACTTGGTAAAACCACTGAGCTTTCATCTCCTATCACCCTACTTTTCCTAGGGCCTGCAAAAATGGGCGGGCCGATCATGAATATGGGTGGAGCTAAATCAGTTCCTAAAACCCCATAGCGGATTTTGATGTGAAGAGGACGTCAGCATCACCAAGCCACAAGAATATGTCTTTAATTATGCCGTTGCTTCTCACTGCTCAGAACTATCAATAAGTAAAGAGAACGGACTCCAACCCATTCAAAACAAACAAAATTCAGATGGATGCATTTTTTCGTAGCGCTGGCAATCGCAACACTCAGTTCTGATGCTGTTCTCCATATAATCCCACAGGTTCATGATTAGAAGCGTGCCTAAGTTTAAATGTCACATTCATTCTGATTTCAGCTTTGCGGTGCACACAATCATTCTGATTTCAGCTTTGTGGTGCACACAATCATGACCATCCCGTCGATCACCACGACCACAACATTACTAACTTAGCAACGGGCGCTATACAGGTCTTTCTTCCATCTTAAACTTTTAAACGCGCCAAGAAGACCTTGAGTTTTTCATCTTTAATTAGCTGGGAGTCTCTCCATGGACTGGCTTTGACTACTTACCGAAAGTGGGCGGAACTTGTGCCCGAAACAAACACGAGGGAACTCTTGAATTGTCGTTTGGTGGCATTGAACTACAATGACAATGTTCACACATCGAAACCATGCCTCAATCATTAGTCCAACCCATACGTTGTGCCCTTCAACCACGGAACTCGGCGGGTGGTGCGAGAGCGGGACACCGGTCCGGCATGAGTCCCTCCCTACCTGGTATCGAGGGTGAATTCGGAGGCGACGAAGGAATGAGCTCTACTTCATGTAGTTCGTTCAGTCTTCCTGCTAAGCCAAGCCGATTCACTGCACAGTATCCTTCTTTACTTGAGAATCATTTTCCTTTCGATTTCCATTCGGCTTCTGTTACACTGCTTTAATTAGAGCTTCCTGATTTAAGGGATATCAGAGTGGAATTGGTTTTCGGCGCCCATATTATCTCATTACTTTTTTTTCAAAAAACCTTCCTAGAATCTGCGGGGCACGCAAGGTCATCTAGGCGACAGCAGCCCAGTTGCTCTCAGAACCATTCGCAAAGATGCTTCAGCAGAAGCAAAAAAATTAAACGAAGACCATACAACTCGGTTACTCATTAAAAGTGTTTTAGGGGCATGACCACGATCACGATCGCAGCAATGGTGAACACGACCATAACCATGACCATGACCACGATCATGACCACGACCACGACCACGATCATGACCACGCTCATAACATACAGAAACGCCATGTACACGTAAGTACAGTTTTAATTTGAAGACAAGGGGTTCGAGGTCACCATACTCATGTGTACTGCTCAGGAACATGGTGAAGAAGTTGGCAGTGTAGGCTGGTTGGAACTGAATGAAGAGCGGCGAATACTTCTCCGACTTACGGCTGTAATGTTCACCATCTATATCATCTATTTCATCGAGTTCGTCGCTTACTATCGAAAAAAGCGAAAGGTCGGTTTAGTGATCTATTTGAGTAATTGTTTACTTTATCGTTTAACTAATATTTGAGATCCAGTACAGCCGATTCAGCTATCACATGGATGAATTCTTGTTTTTCTTTAGAATAAATGTCGGGAGGAGTCCCCACGCTGTCAAAATATTCCTAACAATTCCTCTAAACTCCGCCCTCATCAACATAGTACGGTGCTGTTAGGGTGTGATGCACACACATGAGTGGTTGACACATTGANCTTATCGGGTATGGGTACATTCACCCAGAACTGGATGGACGCGGCGAAATTTGTGGCGACTTAAACAACTTCAGCGCTTACCCTTGGGGCTCAATTTGAAGTTGAGTAGATTGGTAGGATCAGCTGACCATACTAGTCTAATCTACTTCAAGTTTGAGCCCCAATGATAGGTGCCGAAGTCGTCCTAAACGCCACGAATCTCGTCGCGCCATTTGCCGCGTCCATTTAGTTCTGGGTGAATGTCCCGTCCCCCGAACTTATCGAGTCATCGAGTCATGCTCCCCATCGCTGAAAAGTGAACGGAAATAAACCGAGAAAGGCTCTCACTCTCACAACAGTTACCATTCATCCATGTAAGCGCTGATTTATATACATATTTTGCCCCTCCTAAATATGTATTTTGAAAATTTCCCTCATGCTGCTACGAGTTGCCCCTAAATCGGAATCCTCTGCACGGTTCAGAATAGCCATTCCATGTGCTTATGCAAGAGCACTTGAAAATTCCTTTATTCTATTCCCTGCTTTGAAGCTGTTTGTGTTCCTTTCTGTCACTTCGGATTATACGCAGTCTCAAATAGGTGTAGCAACTAAAAAAAACCCTGGCTGAAGCAGTTGTGGTGTCATTGACTGCGTTCTTGTAGGCATACTACAAAAACGTTACATCTCTGAACAACTCATGGTCAACCTCATTCAATCCCACTTTTGGGATTTGCCTACGCATCAGAATTTCACTCAGAATCGTTGTGGGGTTTAAGCGTGAACTGAACCTATTCAAAGACTTCCAGAGGAAAAATTACGAACGACCAAAACTTTAATTTTGCCACCCATGGTTGCTATTGAATGATCGACCACAAAGCAAGAGATTGGGATTAACGAATTTTCCGTCATTCAAAACACGGCAATTTACAACTTTAGTGTCCGATGGCTGCAAAAGAAATCGTGTTACCAAACACAACGAAAATCCACGAGTGCAATGAGACAGTCACAAATCATGCATGGGAAGAGCAGCACTCATGCGGTGTTACCAGCAATGAAACGCTCGTGACTTCCAGAAGGTACGCATATTTGAAGTGTAGACATCTTAGTTAGCACACACCATACTCTCAATATCTACCTTTCCTATTCAATTCAACCTTTACATCCCTATGAATTTCATTTTTTATCGGAAATAATTTGGAAGTTATTATTATATTTTGGGGAGAAATTAGTGTAACAATGAAGTAAAACGGTTTTTTTTTGGAAGAAAAGAAGAGTCTGATCGTTTAGTTTTGTTCACAGTAACGATGTCTCTCCCGATAACGACTCCGACTCAAGCGATGACGACATCGAGATCTGCTGTGGTTTGAAGGTTAGTTTCTTCTTCAAGTTTAGGTTTCACTGAATTTCAATTCCAGGCTTTTGCTTCCTGTTTTTGACTTGAATAGTTCGAAGTCCAAAGTTTTTACTACCGGTACTTTTTGGTTTAAACCTACTTCTTCTGCGGTGGGAATGGTAGGCAAGCAGTAAGAGAAGTTCCCATTTTGACGAGCTCCAGAAATCAGAACAAACGAACCAGATAACCTTTCCTGCCTCTTCCTGAAGTCTCTCGCCTGTCTGCAGGGAATTCGTCTGCAAAGATCGACTTTACCTGTTGTTCCTCATTCCCGATGTAAATTAGAAGTACCCAGATCCCGTATAGAGTTCTGATGACGGCGAATAGTGGGAAAGAGGTTGGCTAACATCCATAGGCTGATCATGTTTCCCGTTAACTGTTTCACTCCCGAGTGTTAGGTCTTTCATGCTGCCTTGATAGTGCCATCGCGGTATGTTGTGGGAAAGGCCACGCACTTAAGTCACCACCTGTAGCTACCATATGTATATACATACCTGCCCGGTTCTCTCTAAGTGATGAATCACTAAATTTCTCGCTGTTACTACTCGCTCGCTGCGGTGGTTTTTGAGGGTTAGTTATCTGTAGGAATCTGCAGAATTTTTCGTCATCCTGCATAGTTGACTTTATGGATCCACAAGGATTTTTCAGACTCACATTTTATGATGTTGTAGATTTGGCAAAAACCCATGGAAAAGCTAACCCCTGGGTATACTAAATTAGCGAAATACTTTGAGATGTTTGAAGATAACAAATGATTCTATATGATACTTCCGTTGTTGTGACGCAGCTCCTGGTCCACAGGAGAAAACGTAGGGACCTGGAGGTAAGGGGTTCGGGTGTGACGGGCAAAAACTGAACCTTTTTATACAAAGGATGCCCGGTCTATCAAAGTTTTGAAAGAGCATTGGGTCAAATTGACAAACTCAGTCTAGGCGACCTTCTAGAGAGTTCTCATGTCGATAGGCCGATTTCCTAGGAGTGAAGATCTCACTCATCATGTTTTAGGATTTGATCCTTCGTTCTTCCACATTATTTTTCTTGATATTGAACCTTGTTTCAGTCGAGAGCAGTAGTGATTTTATTTGGCGATGGTGTTCATAACTTTGTCGATGGTATTGCAATCGGTTCTTCTTTCATTCATTCAATGAAACTTGGACTAATCACATCGATTGCCGTCATTTGCCATGAACTTCCACATGAATTAGGTAAGCCTATACTACAGACAGTAATCTTCAGTGCAGTAATCTTAGTTATGCCATTATTATGTATGAAGAGATGGGGGATAATTTTTATGACTACGATAATCACATGAATTCCTACTCTGCTTGATACAGTATGTGGTTATGTATGTTTGTTGCAGGAGACTTGGCAGTACTGATCGAGTCCGGTTTGTCGATGAAAAAAGCGTTGATTCTCAACTTACTCTCTGCTCTCACAGCTTTTCTGGGACTATACACGAGCATAGCACTAGGTAAGTGGAGTGCAATATATATTCCCGATCGCACCATTTCCGTTCAATACAAGACGGGTTGGAAAAAAAAGCAAAAAAGAATTAAGATTTGACTACGACGTTCTTTTGTCAAGTATGCCCACTAACGTACTGAAAGCAAACGATCGGGCATACTTCACTTCTTTTTTAAGAACCGAAATTTCTCCTCTCCATGAAAACTCCGGACTAATCTGACACTGGCCTTTGAGTGCGCAGCAGTGTGACTACGAAAGGGTGAACGCCGAAAAGAGTAAAAGGGTAGTTTGTTAACATAGCAAACAATTTCAGAAGTGTGCTATATTAGCAGAATTGTAAGAAAGCCGTGGTGTTGCATCAAGGGGCATACCATACCGCATGCGCAGTTCGAATATCGGATCCCGGATCGGTTCGATATATGCGCAAATCAATAAAGCTTACGAAATGCCAGTTCGATAGCGAATGGAAGCCGAGTGCTTGGCACATCCTTTAAATAGGACTTATCGAAGCCGAAGAACTTTGATTTTATAAGGGGGCACATATGTATCGCATGATAATATAATAATCTGCCGTAATTGATGAACCTGTGTTGTCACTCGTTCATTAAATTTTCAGGAGAATCTAAAGACATGCAGATGTGGTTGCTTGCTATCACGGCTGGAATGTTCCTCTATGTGGCATGGATAGACATGGTACGTTCTTAAGTTGTAATATTGGAAGGCTTAACTTTTAGCTGAGTTCAGAGAATATGAGAGCAAATGCTTCTTCTAATCATCATCTGGATCTACCGGAAGTGGCACAGCAAGAAAATAATCTTCATAATTTGATATGATTTAAAAATGAATTACTGACCCGCACGAAAGAAGTCCGAGGCTAATAGAGGCCTCCGGTATTACACTTGACAGTCGTCTTGAAAAAAGGTTCTTTCGGGAGTAATAAGAAAAGTGGGGAGGCAGAAGGATTGCACAGATGTTAAGACCACTCAGCTCATCTAAGAAGAGCGATGTCTGAAGGATAAGATAAGGCCCTTCGCAGATGTGCCATACTGGACACTAGTGATGTTCCCTGGCTATTGTGAGAGCATCGGCGAATAATAAATATTGCAACCTGAGCTGAACATTTTGATGGACTAATACAATTGACACGAATGTGCACCATTAGGGGTGTGGTACGTGTCCCCCGGAAATCGCGTCGCGCTCGCCGCACACGAACATGTATCACGAATCTATAAATCATTTGAAATCGGTGCATTACCTTACCTCAGCTTACCTTGCTAATGAATTCCCCTAGTGTTATCTACCGTACCTCTTCTTAATGGTCTTTTTGCAGCTCGCTCATTTGAAACACGATGGAGTACACAAGGATCACTGGACAATAGCATGCCTTTTACAATATTCAGGATTCCTAACAGGATTCATATTGATATTCGCACTTGGCTGGTTTGAAGAGCAATTGTTCGCGTCGAGTTGATGGCCCACATCATCTCATCGCTCATTTCCCTCTACCTACTCACTGATCGCTGCTAGTTTGCGGGTGTTTTATAATACTTTTCTTTTTGACAATAGACGATTAATAGCTGTGGCTACATAATAGCCGATTGTAAGTAACGTATAATTTTATAAATATGCAAATGTGCTTAAATTCTCACTATTAGTCAATTACTCTCTACGATATCATTAATCTGATAAATGTGTGTGATAAATGATAAACTGAATGGTAAATGTGATAACATATGAATGATTCCACTTAAGAATATGCTGCTTTTTCTGAATTTCCTCAAGCTCAGAGAATCCGTAGATAGTGTGCTGAATGGCTTTCTTAGAGGCCTCCAGAATTCACAAAGAGGACAAAGCTTCAGTTATATTTAGCTGTAGCCCTTAAACAACATTTCCATCAAAATTCAAATATTTCCAATGAATACGATTTTCTAGAGTACAGGCTACGCTCAACCGACTAACTAAACACTTAAAGGCACAGTCCACGATAAATTCGAGGGCTCCTTTCTAGTCTGAAAGCGGAAGCGTAGGGTAGGAATAGTTCATCGGTAGAGGAGAAAGCGAGAAAATTCGCCGATTTTGAGATAAACGAGGCTCCTCAAAGGTTGGGATAGTAGAGGTTGGCCAAGATTACCATGACGGAAATAACATGGAAGAGGTTTGGACGAGATTCCGGACGTTGTTGCAATTGTGCAAAGAACTGAATACAACAAGCCAAACTGTGCAGAACTACCTCCCACTGTCACTATGGGTCCTGACAAATCGTTTTATCTACCTACGCTGGCTTCTTTGCGTTCATGCAGTTTCCACAATGCTGCAGTAATTCGTCCGAGGATACACACTGTTCAATCTCTGTGCTTTTGTAAGGTCCTATCTAGGCCGTTTGCACGTACGATAGTGCCACATAAGGTATACGGAGACTTAAAAATCCACTCTAGCGAGATATCTAAAAGCCTTTCTCATGGTAAACTGGGCCTTAAACTGAAGGTAGGCTAGGAAGATGAACTAAGCCTACACTAAATAGGATGTTTTATAATGAACTCACTGAACTCACAAAAAGGAGCTGAACAAGCCAATCTGAATGTGAGCAGGGCTATGGTTTTTAGTTATAAAGATTTGTGGTACTATGATTCGAGGGATTTTTTTCGAAAAATTTTCATTTTGTTCGACTTTTTTAACCTCTTACTTCACTCAGGATTCAATAATAATTCAAATTTCTTATTATACATTTTTTTGAATAGATCGATGATCTACACGTCTTCTGTTATCTGAATTCCAACATTCCATGTCTTCTTCCAAAACCATTTATCACAAAGTAAAGCTCATAAAATTTAGTACTCGTTTGATTGTTCAAATGATCAATGATGGCGAATGTGGATTGCAAGTGTGTAGTTGACCCGTTTGATTTGAGACGTTCATCCTCTTCTGGTTTAGTGCACTTTGCTAAAAAAATGTAACTTTCGAAGGGGCTCAAACATAGTAGTCATCATTTCAAGAAAAAGATTTGAGACGTTCATCCTCTTCTGGTTTAGTGCACTTTGCTAAAAAAATTCAACTTTCGAAGGGGCTTAAACATAGTCATCATTTCAAGAAAACAAGAAATAAATAAGCGACAAGCTCTTTCATGAAGTGAGCTTAAAACATGTGCGACAGGAAAGTGACATCGGTTTCGGGAAAAGATATGTACGTTGAATTTGTTTTCCATTCATGTATACTGGTGAATTTGAGACATAGTAAAGATCACTTCAACAAGGGTGACAGTTGTGGGCGGTTAAATATGGGCTAGGAGTACTGCTAGCACAAGTGCGGGTTTGAGTCCCGTC